TGTGTTGCACATGACTATATTTTGTTTTTCATCTGTGGTTCCTAGCTCATTGCTCCTTTGTAATTTTCTTTTTTTTTTGAGACAGAGTCTCACTATGTTGCCCGGGCTAGAGTGCCGTGGTGTCAGCCTAGCTCACAGCAACCTCAAACTCCCGGTTCAAGCAATCCTTCTGCCTCAGCCTCCCAAGTAGCTGGGACTACAGGCATGCGCCACCATGCCTGGCTAACTTTTTTCTGTATATTTTTAGTTGTCCGATTAATTTCTTTCTATTTTTAGTAGAGACAGGGTCTCGCTCTTGCTCAGGCTGGTTTTGAACTCCTAAGCTCAAACAATCCTCCCGCCTCGGCCTCCCAGCGTGCTAGGATTACAGGCCTGAGCCACCGTGCTGGGCCTCCTTTGTAATTTTCTAAGTGACTAGAGCAATGAGAGTATCTTTTGTTAAGATGTTTTGCCTTTTGTGCTTGGTTTTTGAAATAGTTCCTAGAGTAAGAAAGGTGAAAGACAGTCTTCTGTTACTTAAAACAAGCTCCTTTCAGCCACACCTGAGTTCATGTTAATGAGGTGATTTTTAGAAAGTCCCTAGATAACCACAGATTGGGGGGCTGGTTGCCAGGGGAACAAACTATGCGCTCAGAGGGTTGGAACTCACTACCCTACCCTCCCACCTCTGGGGAGAGATGAGGGGCTGAAGGTTGAGTTGATCACCAGCAGCCGATGATTTAGTCAATCATGCCTTCATAGTGAAGCCTCCATAAAAACCCAAAAGGACTGAGTTCAGGGTGCTTCCAGGAAGGTGAACAAGAACACATCCACGCGCCAGGGAGTGGTGGTGTACCCCAACTCCATGGGGACAAAAGCTTCTGTTTTCGGGACCCTTTCAGATCTCATCCTGTGTGTCCCTTCATCTTGGTGCTCATTTGTATCCTTTAAAATATCCTTTATAATAAACTGGTATATGTTAAGTAAGCCTGAGTTCTATAAGCCACTCTAGCAAATTAATAGAACCCAAGGAGAGGGTTGTGGCAACCCCGATTTATAGCCAGTCGGTCAGAGGCACAGGTAAAACAACCTGAAGATTTGGCATTGAAGTAGGGGCTGTCATGAGGACTTAGCTCTCAACCCGTGGGATCTGTCGCTATCTCCAGGTAGGTGGTGTCAGCATTGAATTGGAGGATACCTATCTAGTGTCTGCTGCAGAACTGATTGCTTGCGTGGTGGGTGGGGAAAACTTCCACACATTTGGTCACCAGAAGTATTTTGTGTTGTGAGAGTATAGAAGAAAACTGAGTTTGATTTCTTCTATACTTAGTATAAATTGTTTTAAAAAATGTTCAAATCGAATAGTTTTTAATATTAGTTATGGAAAAAAGTAATGCTCCACTAAAATACTTTTTCGTTAAAAAATTTAATGTTGTAATTTTTTGGATATTTTCAGCTGTGCCGTATTTTCTGTCTTCAATAAACAGATTTTAAAAAGTCAGAAATCAGCCCTCAAAACCTAGAAAGCTTAAAAATTGGTTAAAGGCACCTTACTGATTAACAGTTATGAATTCCTTACTGAGCACCTGCTGTGTACCGCCCCGTGCCAAGTGTGTTGGGGAAGCTGGAGAAGCCTAACAAATTGCTTTTCCCTTGAGCTTATAGGAATACAGTTAAAGGAAACAACATTTATGCACAGCAAACAGTTAAAATAATACAGACGACTATTTGTAGAATTATTATATTATGTGAGATGAATCGTAAAGAATTCTGGAGGAGATACTACCAAGTCTCTGGCTATAATGAAACAAAAGTAAACTCTTTATATCGTACTTTTTGGCATAATATCAACCAGTTCCTCCTGTTTTCCATGTTGGCAGAGAAGCTACTGATTGCCGACCTTGAAGGCATGTGTACTGTTTTTGTGCTGTGTGGAGAGAGAATGATCCGGAGGCAGCAGTGAACGTCATACCTTCCACTTTCGTCCATTCTGGACAGGTGGCCAAGTGGATGACTGGCTTGTCTCTATGGTGACTGACTGCTAAAGGATTTGAAAAGCTGTGTTGTTTTAATATGGAGAGAATGACAGCTTAGTTTTGGGGGCTGATCTAATAATTGAAATATTTCTATAAGGAAATCATATGACATCTTAAAGTAAAACAGCATCTCAAGAAGCAATTTTTTTTTTTTTTGAGACGAAGTCTCGCTTTGTCGCCTGGGCTAGAGTGGAGTGGTGTCATCATAGCTCACTGCAACCTCAAGCTCCTAGGCTCAAGCAATCCTCCTGCCTCAGCCTCCCGAGTAGCTGGGACTACAGACGTGTCTCCACGCCTGGCTATTTTTTTTCTATTTTTAATCGAGACAGAGTCTTGCTCTTGCTCAGGTTTGTCTTCAACTCCTGACCTCAGGCAGTCCTCCCACCTCGGCCTCCCACAGTGCTAGGATTACAGGTGTGAGCCACTGTGTGCCTGGCCTCAAGAAGCAATTTTAACATGTCTGATAATGAGCCAGATTCTTCTGTTAGGTGATTTATTGCTATAAAATAGATATGAGTTTTTAAAAGAATGACTTAAGACAGTTTTCGAAGTGTGGTTTCTAGATCACTGTAAAAGACAGAGTATATATTATACTTTTCTTGAAATATCCTATAGCTATTAATTTATTAACTTCAGTTTTTCATATGAGTTTTACTATAAAGAATTCTTAGTTTGAAGTCTAATTTACCTTACTCTGGATCATTTAATTTAGAATGTGTTTAGTTTAGTCACCGTGTCAACTATTTTATACTTAATTACGTTAGTGAGAGGGTTTGTTCATTGTAAATGAGTCCAGTTTCAGATTATCATTTAAAAAATGAAAATAATAGTTCTAATGGCTCAAGAGATTTAATGTATCTTCAAAAACAAAATATGCCTCCTGGCCATTTTTGGTATATGTCTGGTTGTTTGCATTGGCATTTTATTATCAGAAATGAATATAATAATAGGCATCTATTTGAAAACACCTGTTTTATGATTACGGAATACATTGTGTGTTTTCTAGACTATAATAATTTCTTGGGCTTGCTTTTTTCTTTTTTAGAATTCAATGACTGCACTTATTGTAGCAGTAAAAGGAGGCTACACACAGTCAGTAAAAGAAATTTTAAAGAGGAATCCAAATGTCAATTTAACAGATAAGGATGGAAATACAGCTTTGATGATTGCATCAAAGGAGGGACATACAGAGATTGTACAGGATCTGCTGGATGCTGGAACATATGTGAACATACCTGACAGGGTAGGTTCCATATTTTATACTGCCTTCTAGTGGTGAAGTGGATGGAGGGTTACTTTAATTGCCTCTTACCACCTTTCAGGATTCTTCATGCATGAGATAAACTTGTTTTAAGATAAGTTTCATTTCTACCTTTAAAACTAATAAGTTAAAAATTATTCAATCTTTTTGAAGAATGTCCTTTTTTATGCTTGTCAAAAAATTTTGTTATTGAAAATGTCACATATACATCTGTAACTGTCCTTGATGTACATCACAGAAGGTGGTGTTCGTGGCTCGGGTTAGTCATTGCTCCAGGGCTTTAAGTACCACTGTTTACCCTTAAGATTTTCACAGTTCTTTCTGTTGTCCTAACTTCTCTGAGCTTCACCCTTAAATATCCAACTCTACCCAAACTCTCTACTTGAATGTCTACTTGGCTTCTTAAACTTAAGGCAAATAGATGACCTGTTTTTTTTCACCTCAAACCTGCTTTTCGTTTAGTCTTCTCCATCTCAGCAAGTGGTATGACCATCCATTCTGTTGTTAAAACCCCAAGTCATGTGCATTAGCCTTGATTTCTCTCTTTCCTCACCTACCCCATCCGGTTCTCTGGCACGTTCTGTTGACTCCAAAACGTTTCCTTTATCTGTCGCTTCTCTTCATCTCCAATATCACCTCCCCTGCCCAAGCCACCATCTCCCATTGTTGTAGCAATAGCATTGCACCTGGGTTTTCTTGTTGCCTCTGCTTTATTCTCCACCCTGTTCTCAGAGTGGTCTTTAAAACAATAAATCTCTCATGTACCCCTTTGTTTAAAGCCATCCAAGACTTCCTCCTGCATTTAGGATAAACGTTACCTTTTTAGTTTATGGACGCTACATAGCTTTGTCTTTGCCTCCTTCTTGTCCTCATTTTACACCACTCTTCCCCGTTTCAATAGGTTGCAGACATGTTAGCGCTGTTCCCCTTTTGAACACACTGATCTCGTTCCTGCCCTGGGGACTTTGCAGCAGCTGTACCCAGCTGACCTTCAAATGCTGGCTCCCTGTCATCCCCCTCAGCATAAATGTTACCTCCTCTGAAACGTCCTCTTCTCCTACCCAGTCCAGAGTAGCTACTGGGCCACTTTCTATCATATTACCCTGTTTTAACTGTTTTTGCGTAGCATTTGTCTAACTTTTTGTTCATTGTATATCATCTTTCACCATCAGAATGTAAATTCTCCCAGAGCTGGGACCTTGTCTGTCTTGTTTCCCGTGACTAGCATGGTGCACGGCACATTGTAAGCAGCGAAATATTGGTAACCTTTCATTAATTTCCTGGTGTGCACCCATGTTAATGCTAACATTCTCAACTAAGAGTTGTCTGCCTTGGGTTTATTTATGCTATTAATGTGGCAGTTAAGACACCGCACTGTGGTGCTAAACTTAGCAATCCTCGAGGACCTGCCTCTTGATTTATAGCACATTGGGACCCTCTAAGGATTGAATTGAACTGCAGCTCCTGAGCTCACCCAACCCAAAAGCTTACAGCTGATTTGTAATTTAGCAGTAAATAGAGTATTTATGCCATTTGCCAAAATAACCATTTCCAGTATGTGAAGTAATGGGAAGTGATAATTAAAAATGATTGTTGCTTGATGAATATGATTTCAGGCCAAAGAGATGTCTTCATGAACATCTCTTTTGTGTTTATGAGAGAGGTCGTGAACTTTGTCAAAGTCTTGTCCTGGGGAATGAATCAGCCTTTTGTGCACTCCTGGACGGTCACCGCCAAACTGACTAGATATTCAGGGATGTTGGTCTGGAAACAAACCTTTCCGTGAATTAACTATGGCTCTCGAGCCAGTGATAGCTTTAGCTTTACAGCTCCCTCTTTAGAATCCGTGGCTTTTTTCACACAGCATTGTTCAAAGGGATTTTTATGTAATTTCCAGATGTTCTTCTAGGTCATTGCCAGCCACAGTGTCATTTTGTTTAATTTACATTTGTAATGGAGGGTTATCTTCAAAGAGAATAGATTCTTGTTCTGAATAGTTTGTCTTTCTAAACTTTTAAAAATGGAATATCAGAGTCCTCATTTTGAAGGTTATTAATATCAGCTATTAATATTAGTTAATTAAAATTTTTCTCTTAGTTGGAGATAGGTTCTTTTTCCAAGAAATTTTTTGAAAAAATCTTATTATATTAATCAACGATTAGCCTTAACTTCAAAACAGTGCTTATGTGTTCTCCTCATCAAGTCACCTTGTTTTTTGGCTTTTTAGAGTGGGGATACTGTGTTGATTGGAGCTGTCAGAGGTGGTCATGTTGAAATTGTTCGAGCACTTCTCCAAAAATATGCTGATATAGACATTCGAGGACAGGTATGTGTGATTACAGTGCAGCTGTTATTTTTGAGTATGATCGGTTGTGTATGTCCACTAATGATAATGTTATTCTTCCCACTTTCCTATGGAGATAAACTTTTAAATCCTAATACATTTAATGGATATATATTAAGTTTCACTGTCATTATTGTAAAATTTCTGTATTTATGTCAAGTTAAATTTATATAGAAGTAAACCAAAAAGAAGCTCATGTTTTTAGAATGTACCTCCCTTGCTGACATACAAATATATTCAATCCTGAAATAGGTAGTTAGTGATACTGAGACAGTTGAGTGTATGGCACTTATTTATTTTCTTTAGTTTTTTCCCTTTGTTTGTCTTCTTTATCCATATGCTATTCTTTCATTCTTGTTTTAGTTTCTTTTCCTTTTTCCCTATTCTGCTTGCTTTTGCTGGGACCACTTGGTAGTGCCTGTGGACTTTGCTTAAGATAGTCCTAGTTCACAGAGCTACAACTGTTATTAATAGATAAAAGCCCTGCCCACAGTTGTAAATTTATCTAATACTTCAAGAGCTTTAGATTAAAAAAAAATATTCCTGATGACTCATTTTGTTGTTGGACATTCTACATTTCTGCCCACTTTATCCTTGTATTTAGCCAAAAAAATCTCATATCCAAATCCATTTTTGAATCAAACTAATAAATATTATGCCAAATGTTGTCGGGGAATTAACATGGGATGCTTGCCTTTAAAAAATATGTATTTTAATTTTGAAACTTTTAGTTTATTTATGTTTATTTTTATGCCTTTTTTAAACAGAAAGTGAAGCCACAAGATGGTGTATGATTGATTGCCTAGTGAAAGGTTCAAGTATGAGTCTTGAGGTGGGGAAAGACAGTGTTACGAAAGGAGACTTGAAAGAAGGTAGAACTTGAACTAAGTTTGAAGATGGCTTGGATTTAGATCGGTAGAGAAAAGAAAGGCTGAGTGTTTCAGGCAAGGGAAGTAGTAATAGAATGAGAACATTTGAGAAAATTAAAAAGTGAAAGACTGTATTCCATAGCTAGTGAGTAAATCAGTTTGGCGGTGGGGTGGGAGGTGGGAGGTAGAGAAATTGAAATGGAAAGGAAGGTAGGACCAGAGACGTTTGAGGGCCGCCCTAAGAAAGTTGGCCAGATAGTGTAGTGGGGAACTCCGTTAGGAAAATTTTGGTATAGGAAACTTAATGTGGCAACAGCAGAAAGTCATTCATTATCTTTTGGGTTAAAATTCTGTTTTCACTAAAAGATGGTTTCTAGATCGCCTATTTAGACTTTTACCTAACTACTTTGTGTCTGTCAATCCTGTTTTCCTATGTTTCAATCAGTTTTTTTGTTCTTTAGCTATATTTTCAAGGCCTTTGTGGATTAATTTTTGGTTTTTGAGCAAGATAGGATTTTTAAGAATCTGATTAAGAAAGTTAGGGATGCAGGGTGAGTGGAGAGTAAGAAAGCTAAAAATGATAAAAACAATAACGCCTTATGTTTGTGAAGTACATTCTCATGCATTATCTTTTGAAACATTGGGCAGGTACACTTATACCATATTACAGATGAAAATTCAAGAGTCAGGATATTTAAGTGACAGGCATTGATGACTTTTAACTCAGTACATGCTCCTGAAATCTGTTTGCATTACAAAAGCGTAGTTTATTTTATTAACTATATGGGATTGCTGCTTTTTAAGTCAAGCCATGTTAAATTTTCGTAGGCTTCTTTCAGAAAGAATTCTCAAAAATAAATCCAAGATACCATAAGGATTGATATTATTTCCCATCATGCCGCCTGTTCGAATGCTTTCTGACAGAAAATATGTTTTACAAATAGTGGTTGTAAATATTGTATCTTATATGAAGTGATTGCTGATTTTCTTTTTTAATTATATAGGACAATAAAACTGCTTTGTATTGGGCTGTTGAGAAAGGAAATGCAACAATGGTGAGAGATATCTTACAATGCAATCCTGATACTGAAATATGCACAAAGGTATAAATGGCATTTCTATTCTGTTAGCAGTACCTAATGCTGAATATTAATCCTGTTCATTTTATTTCAATCACCATTGATTGGTGTTAGAGTTATATTGATTTTATTGGTAATATTGTATGTTAAATTGAGGAGTAACTTTGTATGCTTTCTGGATTTGTGTATTCATAGCAAAAAACAGTGTGTAATTTATTTACTTCAATTAAATACTTTTCAGAAAGTACAATATAAGCTATTCATAAATTGTGGGCAGATCATTTCCTCCAAATTCTTTTGTGTTTCTGCTATTAGGAATCCAGAGCACGTTGCCATTTAAAAGACACTTATGACTGGTGGTTGATTCCCCAGACCAGCTACTGTAGCCTATTTTACTCAAATCGTATGAAAAATAAAAAATTATATAAGACTTTGGTGATTGTATTTAGCCTTATGTATAATAGTTTTCCATGGGGAAAATATGATTGGAATTGTGGATTGAAATGGAAGGAATTCTCAGTGAATAAAGCAAAATTATAGAGGCACTTGTAAGACAATCCTGGTGGATCGTTAAATGATATTTCATCTGCTAGAGATCTGGACCAGCATATTTCTAAATCAGTGATAGTACCTCCAGTACCCTAGGGTAGAAAATTTTCTGGGATACCTTCTGGTTTGCAGGTGGCTACTTGATCTTCATTTTTCTTCTTTTTTTTTGGACCCGTGTCAGCCCCTGTGACTACCTGTGACTTGTAACCAGTTTTTTTTGTCTTTTCTAACTCAGGACTGAATTGTGGTCTCTTCTTATTTCCCTTGGTTTGGTTTTGAAAGCAATCACAAACTCTTGAGGTTTCTGAAGGCATCCTGCTTATGTTAGATGTTTTCCAATGTTATACACAGATCTTTAGGTTTACAGAGAACTGAAGTGACAAAATTTCTGAAAAGCTCAAGATACTGGCCTGCCTGGATGTGGACAGGCTGGACTGTGGCTTGGTTGGTGGGGAGATGGTGAGAATGCGAAGTAGCCTCTGGAGGGCCTGCCCCAGAGGTCAGCTGGGGAGCCTGGGGGTTGACAGGAGCAGCCACTGCTGCCAAGTGCAGGGACTGATGGCGGGTGCGGTTTATAAGCAGATGGACACATCCCACGCTGGCTAAGGGATATAAAGTTATTTTGATACAAACAAGTGGTTGTGCAAGGAAAGGCACCTTTTCTGTTAGCTTTTAAATTGTGTGTTCTTGAGAACATTTTAAATAATAGACTGTTAGCAGAGTCATATATTTCTTGTCAAGTGCATTTGTATGACAAACATTTAGGTGCAAAGCTATTGATGTGTTAAATTTTCTTATCTGTGCCCACAGGATGGTGAAACACCACTTATCAAGGCTACCAAGATGAGAAATATTGAAGTAGTGGAGCTGCTGCTAGATAAAGGAGCCAAAGTGT